CACTTATATATTATATCATATTGACTCGATCATTCTAAATTTATATTTATTTTTTTTATTMAAATTAATATCAAACAATTTATTTAAAATTATTTATGTTATATAATATATTGTCTATTAAATGATAAGTATAATATAACAATTATAATATATGTATTTGTAATTCAATATTAAAATCATCTTCATGTAGTAGTGAGTAATATTGTAGTCAGTGGATTTTTTCCCGGGGTCCATGATTTTTATTCTAATTATTACCATGTGAGTTATGGTTGTTCACTTTAGTGTATGATTTGATTTTAAGTTGAGTATAAGGGACTTTGACTGATAGAACCTTTGAAAGTGTTTTTTTTTTTTTAAGTTGAATGATCTGCATCTCTTGAAGTTGGCAGACTAAATAAAGTTTAAAAAATTTAAAATACTATAACTTATAATTAATTTGATATTTGAAATAGTAAAAGGAGACAAGTCATCGCACTTACCTTAATTATTGCTTTTTTAATTACTCATATTAAACTTTATTTTTATTAACAGTATAGAAATGTATAAGTTATGCACCTTATTTAGATCATCTAAGAATGACAAATCGCATCTAAATTTTTTTAGCTTGTCCTGTCAATTGTGCAAAATTAATAATATAAATTGGGAGTTGTCAAAGGATCGGCTGTCTAAAGTTTCTAACTGCCCGTAGTATAACACTCCCACAGTGACAAATGTAATAATAATATATAAATATATATTGTATAGTTATAAGCAAAAAATACATTTTACCATATTATTGACCTATCCAAATAATGTATTTTTTTTTTTTTAGACAACACTGAGCCACCTACTAATGAAACTATTGACACATACATGGTTAATTTATTCACTATTCTAACAACTGATACTGGTAATAACCCTTCCTGGATTGCAAATATAAAAAAAAATATTTCTAATTTGGAATTTTAGTGTTAAAATAAAATTATRATTTGATTTACCAATATATAATTAATCATAAATTATCCAATTAATTTGTTTT